GAAAGATGATTTAAAGAACAAAGAACCATAAAGGTTATTTTATACAGTAATTGATTCTGCACTGACAGGAATAGAACTTTTCAGTACATTTCTGCATTTATGAAAATTGTACCTGTTGACCTTTAGATGTGCACCCTATGTGTGTAAAAATAAATTTTATCTGTTAGGTGAGCACGTTTATAAAGAAACAACAATAATGATTTTTTATTGTTGTTTTTTTTATATTTTTTCTGTGTTTTAACGTCAATTGTTTTTATATATTTTTTGTCATATCTCGGTCATATCTCGGCGGCTTTTTGTTCTGGATAACCTACCAGTAATTACCATTTTCTCCGGGAATAAAATTTAAGTCGTCAGCACATTAAAGAACATATGAAAGTTAACTGAGCCAGGTACTGTTTAAGCTTGACACAGCCTTAATTAGTTTCATATCATTCATTTTTAAAATTTGTATTTTGTTTCAACTTACCTCTTGTAGATAAACATTCAATAGTTTATTATGGGAGCTTTCTTATATGGGGTTTTGTACCGGGATATGCCGAACGTGATATTCTGAATAACACAATAGATGTTTCATAATTCTAAATATTGAGCTTTAAGCTTAAAAATGTGTTTCTTTAACAGTTGCAGAACCATAAAAGAAAACAAAAGCAATTTAAAAAAATCAACCACGAAAACAGTGGTGACATATATTACAATAAAACATTTCGTAAGAATGTATATTGCAATCAAACATGCTTTTTATTCTTCTTACTTTATAAAACAAATTTAGGGACATTTTTAATGAAAATTCATCAATTTAATTGGATAAAGTATGGACTTGAAACAAATTCATTCTTTTCCAAGTACTTGTTAGTATATTACCTTCCTTCAGTTAACGCATTGTTAACCATGTTACTAAACTGAATGGATACATTTTTGCACTATTCGATTAAAGAAATTTTGGATAATGAATAAAAAAAGTTTGATCCTAAGTAAATATTTTTTAATACTTTGCCTTGATATTGCTAACGTTGCTTTGCACATTTCGTAATATACGTATTAGACAGTTTTTTCTTTCGTCATTTCAGCAAAAACAAAATTTTATCTTTATAGTGTTCACAGATCAATATTTTTTATTTATTATTTCTTTTTGTTACTGAAACAAAATTACTACAAAAAATACCAAGTAATAAAAGGAAAATCATAAAAGTGCCTTTTAATTTCATTCTGATTCTAATCTTATTTCGTCTAGAAAACCTGACCCTTTGGTGTATGTTATAAAATCAATTCAGGTAAAAAGATCTCTAAATTACAAATAATTAGATATCTTTTATACCGATTATTCTGTAAAATATTTTAACAATCTATTTGACTGCCCTTTAGGATTGTAATCATAAGCATCATTTTATATTTCCCCCTATAAATTTTACACCTTTCAACACTAGAACCGAACGTTCAGGTTTTTTGCCCATTAGAGCTGGTGAATATTTGATATGCATAAAAGGTTGTTTTTATGTTGTAAATACGTAGCTTTGATTTTATGAACATTTTTGTTGTTGTTCTGTTCTAAAATCTATCAGGGTATTAGTTGTTTATTTGGTTGAAAAATGTTGATGCTATTCTATTTGCAGTAAAATATCTGGATTATTCTGCATTTGATGATCATTTGGGAGCATTTCAATTTTCAATCGCATCTTGATTGCATTGCCTCTAGAATATGAACCCCTTTGGTGAATGTTATAACAAGTATAGGGAATTCTACCATTAAATAGTGAATATTTTGATACGTACAGGAGCCATTGTTCTATATACATTGTTCGTGTTTATACTTAATGTCTTTATGCCTTACACAACTATATTCTGATATTAAATATACCCTCATTGTACATTAATGCAATAAGTATCAGCCTTGTAATATTCCTGTTGATATACTATATTTGAAACACAAATTATATTTTTTATCCCACTAAACAAGTCTCTAAAATTCATAAATTTAGGAAAGCATTTACGACTGTATTCCTTTACCCTGTATATCAAATGGTATACTCATTCTTTCAATTTTAAGAAAGGTACTTATTCTTATTTTTCGAAACGTTAATTTAATCCCCCACATTGTCTGTAATACAGTGCAACTGGTTTCCGATTATATTCAAATAAAAATGTGCTGTTGGATCAATTGCTTTGATCTTCATACGCCGATGTTTGTAGAATGTCAATAAGTGTAACATCAAAGATCACATGATCGCTGCAATGTTACACATCTTCAACTGTTGCACTCCAATTATTAACAAAACTATTTCGGTTCTGAATTGGCCGCTGCAAAAAATAAAATATTGAGTATCTAATAGCTATGTGTTCTTAAATATTTATCATTTAAAATGCAACATTTATAAATCATGACGAATGTATATGACAAGCTCATTTATCAATAATAAAAATGTTACATGAATGAATAGCATCGTGCAATATAAGCAAAGTAGCCGAAATCGCCGAAGGTATGAAAAAACATAACTCTTATCATTTTCACATGCGATGTCGTGTGAATTAATCTAACAAATCTTCTACAGCATTTTAATTAAACGATACTTTGCTTAAGTAATGTTCAGTAATAATTCATTAATTTTTATTGAGTGCATTGCATATGCAAGAACTTTAAGCAGAGTGGCTAGACTAAACAAACAGGTGATGGTTAACTATGGGGTTTTGTTGTTAAAAGAACTTTGACCGACATTTCGGACAAAACAATTTACGGACGTAATCGTCTATATCTGTAAATGACAGGAATAATTCTATGAATGTCTATAAGCTTTACAATACATAATAGTAAGATGTCGTGTCTTGGATGTCAACCAACACATTATATTTATTATATGTTTATTTGGCATGGCTCGAAAGAGACAATCGACATTTCCATTCTTTTAAACAATGAATAATAATTTTTAACCTTTAGCCTGCCGGTGATAACTGAATTTAGATATGCGACTAGCGCAGACCAAGATAAGCCGGAATGTCCGTGTTTGCTATTCTGTCAGTAACTATTTTGTATAATTTTCCTTTAATGCTGTCTGCAGGTGTCCATATTTAAAGATGGAAAAGATACTAAACACCAGAACGATTAATTTATTAAACAATTATATAAAAAAAAATTAAATTTAGTCATATAAAACTCTTTGAATTAGCGAGAAATCAATATTCCATTTTTTATTTTGAGACTTTATAATGTTAAAAAGAAAAAAACTTTATTTTCAATGAGACTATTTTTTTCTTTTTGGCATAAATCTTTTAGCATGTTGTTTACATGGATAATTGTTTTTGATGGCCTATTGAAAAAAGAATGCTTTGGTTGTTTGAATAAATTTTATTTATTCGGCTTGAGTGATGATACACCTTACAGAGTCCATTATCATCTCATAAATAGGCTTTTATCAAACCAAGTCTTCAGTTTATGTGGTTTGTATCACTCCCCAGAGATCTACAGTACCCTTTAAGAGTATAACTTCATTCACTGACAAATGGATTGACATTATTAGATTTTTTACTGATTTGATCCAATCGAATTATAAAATTGTTTGTCTTTCGCTGGTGTCATTTTTCTGCGGTACAATTTCATTAACCTAATTAATCAGATATATTGGAACAATTCTGAGAAATGTGTTCTCGCAGTTCTTACAATTTATGCCTCTTAAATATTATAAATAATTTAATAATTCTATACATTTGACACAGTGAAATAGAGAAAATCAGAATCTCTAAAGTACGCCCAAACCGATATAATTGAAACATGGTGCACACTTGGTTGATTGAGTCTGTTCATGAACGGTACTGGAAAATGCAAGTTACTACCCAAGCCCCCTAGTACCGGCTTAAGAAAATTCAACATTTTAACACAATAATGGTGGAAATTTGAAACATCTGCAAATGTGTTCTTTCGGCAGTTATCATGAAACCTTCAATGTGGCACGTTATTGCTACACAAAGTGTTTGAGCTTTCAAATGTGGAAGCTGATTTCGAAACTGGCTTTGGTTTACCAAAAAAAAAATTAAATTATTTGATCATTCATCAGATCTTAATGTTAGTGTATTTTATTTTGCAAGAAATGAAAGTTTATTTATTTACAAAAGTACATGCAACTTTTTCATCAGACGCAAGTTGTTATATAATGAACCGTTGCTTTCCTCATTACATAAACAAATACACTATAATTTATTTTGAATATCTTACTCCTTTCGAAATATTTCTGGCATACTTTTTTGTTGGCCTTTTTTAAATAGAAGAATTTGTATGAATTCTTAGTGTGTATTTAGGGTGATTGATGTTGCACCTTCAGAAATCTCTCCTTAAAAAGAGGCCTTTATCAGTCAAAGTCTTCAGTTGGTGCGGCTTTTATTGTTGTCCAGAGATTCCCCTGTTAAAGTATATTTACTTGATTCGCTGATCACTGGATTGAAATTATAAGATTGTTTTCTGATTTGATCTAATTCAATCAAAAAAATATTTGTCATCCGCTGGTGTCATTTTGCTGCGGTACAATTACATTTACCTATTTATTTAGATATAGAGCGGGTGCATATATTACCGAACACTTAAGCAGAAAAAATGTTTGTTCGGTAACATAACCATATTTTCAGACTAGCGCGTATCCAACGGCAACCCACACATACGCGTAGCAAATGAGTCTATCACCGAACGTTATAGCCCTATTAGTTAGGTAGATATGAAAATAAAACTGATCTGACTAATGTATGTTAATTCCGAATGATGGTTTTAATTCCGAAAATGTGTGGTTCGAATTCCGGACACCTTAAGAGTTTTTAAAAAAGAGAAGTAACAAGTTATTTCATTTCATAGACTGTGTATTCTATTGACAATTTTCATTTAAACGAATGATTTTACCCACTTTAAACAGTTTGACTGTTTGATGATTTTATGAAAAAAATGCAATAATGTAAATTAAAAGTTTTAGAGATGTCGTTTTTTTATTAACAGTCATAAAAACAATTTTACAAACGGCACAGTCTTAGCAATATTTGCATTCGAATGGCAACTCATCGGCTTCGCATATTAAATCTGCTTCTACACAAGTAACGTGAAATCTTCGGGCACAATTTGTACATTGTATGAAACCGTCGCCATAGGGTTGCTCACAAGCGTAACATTTGTCAGATTGTATCGGTGCAGCATCGTCGCTGTCAGACGCCTCTATTTCCTTCATTATTTGTTCTTCTAAAGCTCGTTTATTGCGTTTTTTTTCCTGCATTCTTTCCCTTCTTTTCTGTTCTGCTTGCTGTCTTTGTTCGCGCTTTTTTGCTTGTTGCTCACGTTTTCGTTTTCTTTCTTCCTCTCTCTGTAGTTTCTTTTGTATTCTTTGTTCCTTTCTTTTATTTTTTTCTTCTTCCAATTTTGCCTTGAGTTCTTGTTTTTCTTTAAGAAGCTGACGATATTTCAATCCGGTTATTGCCTTCGGCATCAACACTCTACGGACATTTGGCTTACTGACTTTTAAACTTGGAATAGTCAGAAACTTTGAAAACGGAGATGCAGCTTCTGTAGAAGTTGAAGATGGTTTCTCAGCAGTCATTTTCATGGGAGATGATACCTGCTCGTCTATCGTCTCAGTGGCAGCTAAAGCTAAAGGAACTGAATTGACTGACTCAACGGCTGCATCTGCTGCGTCAGGGTCTTCATTGAGTGTTCTACTTGTTGTCTCTGATGGAGGCGTGTCCGACACAGATAAGGGTTTTGAAGCAGAATTAACAACAGGAACATCCATGCTAGGAGATGTAAAAACTTGACTTGGTTCTAATTTAACTGAGCCAGTAACGCGACTTGGATCTAAGGGAAAAAGACCTGCTTCAAGAAAACCTTTGACAGCAGCGTCTACAGTTGCGCTTGACACCCATGCCTGTTTGAATACTTTTGCGAACGTTTGCTTTGTAACAAATTCGCCTACATTTTCTGTCTGCCAGTCGCGCACAGATTGTCGCCTAGAGGACTTGAGTGTTGCAAAAAAGCGTAGATCTAATGGTTGCATAATGTGCGAGGAATGTTCAAGTAAACAATAAAGTTCTACACCATTTGCTAAACATGTGTCAGAAGCCTCCATGGATACGTGTGTTTTATGGCCATCGATAAGCAGTAGGACAGGTTTGCGTACATGGCGGGATTCTATGGATGGAATAAAAACATTTCTTAGCCAGGAAATGAAAACTTCTGAATCCATCCAGCCGTTTTCTGATCTACCAAATGCTGCATCCTCAAAACCTTCAAGCGGATTATATGCGAAACGTTGCCCTGGATAAATTATCATAGGCTGAACAAAATGTCCTGCTGCACTTGCTGCAGCCATAATAGTCATCTGTGTCTTATCTGAATTACCGTAGTGATAGACAACAGGGGCCCCTTTGCTTCCTACCACCTTGCTGCCTTTACTTGGACAAAGTGAAAAACCGCTCTCGTCGGCGTTATAGATTCTCGTAGGGTCTGTAAGTAAAGTAGGATCTTTCACCTCAGAACAAATATAGGCTTCAAAGTCTGAAAACCAGCGAGCAATTTTCTCTTTGTTAATTATAGCCCGCTCCTTGCCCAACTGTATCGTGGTTCGCACTGTCAACTCCGGGTGACGATTAAAAAAACTTCGAAGCCATTGCCTGCCAGGTCTATTATCAACAAAGCATGTTTGCCTACCATCGGCGTCAAGGATTTTCTTCACAACTCCTGTAAGTTCCTGGCGCGTTCTACCATATCCTATACGACTCATGTGCAGGGCCCAGTCTGCAATACGCTGCTCTTCATCTGGTTTAAGGACAGTCTTGGCACCGATTCGATCGCTTGTGTATTTGCTATTAACACGATCATGGAGCGTAGTTTTCGGAATCTTGTACATCTTTGCAGCTTGACTCAGAGACAAGGATCTAGCCCGTACCATGTTTGCTGCGTGCTCTACCATGCCCCGATCATATTGCCTCCGCTGACGCTTAGCAGAAATTTGCCGACTTATTCCTGAAATAGACAATGGGTCTTTGGGTTTAATTGATATTCTTGAAGATCCATATATTTTTTCAGACGTGAAATTCATATCTAAATTGGTTAATTATAGTAGGTTAGACAAAATGTATATCGTTATTAATTTTATGAAGTCATTCGATTATGTTCGGAATTATAATCTTCTCTCAACATTTTGGTTATATTTCCGAACAATGCAATAGCTCCTTACTGCTGTTCAATGGCACCTGGAAGCAGTTTGCATCTTGTGACGTAATATTACAATAGTCAATAATGATAAGTAATTTCCATCTTTACGCATTTTATACGGCTATAAAATCATTACGAAAAACTAACATGAAATAAGAAAACTCATAATTTTACTCACTTGAAAAGATGCTGGAAAACAAATTCAAAATTGCCGCTTAAAAATCAGCGTGATTTGGTTCAAAATGGCGTAAAAGAAAATGGCATCAGTCATGATGTCATTAATGACGTAGTATTGTCTCTAATACATGGATGAAGAAAAAAATAACTATTTGAATATTTCGTTCGGAATTAAAAGACGTTCGGATTTATGAACACCCGCTCTACTGGAAACAATTCTAAGTAACATTTTCTTGTAGTTCTTACAATTTATACCTCTAAAATATTATCAATCATTTAATCATTCTACACTTGACACAGTAAAAGCTACACAAAGTATGTGAGCTTTTTAAGTATGAAAGATGCTGACTATATAATAGGCTTTGGTTTACACAAAATATTTTAAATAATTTGGTTATTGAGTAGATCTTAATGTAAGTGTATTTTCTTTCGCAAGAAAAGCAATTGTTAAATGGTGTTTCTAATGTAACTGACGCAAACTATTATATATTACTAAACGGGATTTGTTACGCATTGCACGAACAAATTCACTTTAAAACCTTTTAGTAATTTTACTCCTTTTAAAATATTTAAATGATACGTCATGATTTTTGCTCATTTAATCCTGTCAGTAATAATTGTGGTAAGTGATTTTACAAGCTTGAAAACGATTTAGCTTTCCCATGCGTGTATAATGTTTGCTTTTATTGCGGAAATTGAATCAAAACTATCAACAAAATATTTAGTGTTTTCCAGAAATTTGTTTTCACCAGTCATTAAGTTTTCAAATATCAAACATGTTGCTTCATCGGTTTTGATATCAGAAAATGGGTCTGTATTTGTCGTTATATTGCAATAAAAACTAAATGTTTTGTTTAAGAGCATATACCAAAACATTTGACCATGCCCTATTTATTACTTATTAAGTACCCATGGGTGGGGTAATCTCGGGATGGATATTCTTATCAGAACCGTTACGAATGACAGATATTATTATTCCATTCCAAAATATTAGTTAGTGTTCGTAAATAATATTCAATGTGTAGTATCTTATTCACTGGCTGAATTGGGATATCCCTATTTTAAAATAGAATCAGACTCGTATTTAATGACCATACATCATATACTATACAGTTAACTACGCGTGTGCATATAATTAATTGTCAAAATCCTCGATTCGAAATCGGACTACTTTATAATGATTGTTTAAAGTTAAACCGCAATAATAAGAAAATTGATTACTTTTGTTTGTGCAGCGTTTGTGTGGCCATATTTTTACGTTCGTCTTTTTGCCCGCTCTTGGGTAAAAGCAGTCCAATACGTCTGATTTGTTTTCCAACATTAGATTTTCATATTTATGATATTTTAATCTAACGCTGATCATATAATAAATCAAATATTGACTAGTGAACCATTGAATATGATGCGATATTAAACGGTAAATTATCATAATGACACTAACTGGTCAATACCACAGCCATCATATTCACTCACTTGACAATAATTGTATAATTATAATTACAGTCGGTATTAAATTCCATTTATTTATTCTTTAGAGTTAAGAACTATTTCCAACAATTAACGAAAGTTAAATTCTGGACAGAAACTGTTATGATAACGTCAAACAACACAATCTTAATCTAACATGGTAGCACATATCCATATCCATGTTAAATATATCCTTAAAGAAACTTTTTTTTTAATCTGTAAGGTTTATGCAAATAATAATAAACAATAAGTTGTTATCATTGTTCAATCAAACTGGATATTCTACTTGGAGAAGACAATATTAGTTAAGAAAGACTCATGTGTGTTTTGTTAATATAAAGTGTATTTTTTAGATTCAGAGTCAATTAAACAAACATTACATTATACATGTACAACAAGTTACAACGGTAATTCACTCTTGGCAGTACCGTTCATGAACAGGCTCAATTAAAATTGAGTCTGCAACATTTTCAATGTTGCCGTGATGGGCTTTCTTTAGGGATTCCTATTTTCTCTATTTTTTCGGCATTTTCATACAGCAGCAATTAATAGACGAGAATCTACTTCAATTGATTTTTAAAACACACCTGTTATTTCTTTCTTAAAATCTGGAAACAAAGTGATCCCTCGGAAACATTAATCACAACCAAATTACATGAAATTGCAGACTCGGTTTGATTGAGTCTGTACATGAGCGATATTGTGCAACATCCCTCACGTTTTCTACGACCGGCTTGAGCGTACTCAATTCTAAACACTTAATAGTGCTGGCATTAATGATCCTGAAGAACCAGAAAAATATAACAACATGGCGTTATTGTAAAGGTACAACTTAATATGATACATAAACAATTTTGATTTTCAAAAACAACACCTGTTATTTCTTAAGCTATTAAACTAGACTAGTCTTTTTTTTAAATTCTGGTATGAAACAAAAAAAATTAATTTGAAACAAATGGCGTTTTTGTCAAGGTGAATTTTATGTTGACATACAATTATGTATAAGTTTACAGCTTCATGATATATCGATCTATACTTAGAGTGATTTAACAAATGGCTTTCGTCTAATGGTATTCCAATAACTATAAAAACGCCTGCGGACATATGTTATCTCCATTTTTGTTTTGGATGTTTCCGTATTTTCAAAAGCTGTTTGGATAAAGACAGGCCAATTTCGCTTTACAAGTTAGTATTATCAAACTTATAAACTAGCTTTACATTTATTTACTTCTTTTACCTTTTCTGAGATTTGAGACTTACTTAACATTAATTTTATATGTATTTTTATTATATCTTCATCCGTAGTTACATAGTTTTATAAAATGCATAAAATATTTATAAAGCAGAAACCAAATAAATTACATAGTACCTGTTACGTTACGTTCCCATTTGCTATAAAATGGGGTTTGTTGTAAATAATTATAAGATAAAAGTACGATACGAAATCTTAATGACTTCATCAATACTTGAAGTATTAATTGCATTTCGAAATGGTAGTTAAAACAGTTAACAATTTAATATTTAATTTACATTCACATCAGAATTGAGATAAAGTTATTGATGATGAATAAGCTTTGATCTAATGTATTTCAAACATAGGAACTGAACGACTTTATAATGCATGGAGTGGCAAAATTCGCATATCCCAGTTTAGACGTCATTATCAGTTTGAAATTCAAAAACAATAACTAATTATCGGTATTTAAAATATAAATTATGCTTTAACAGCAACAAGTTTAGAGAAGGTTCTTTAAAATTGTACAAGCAGAAAGTTCACCGGTCAAAATTTATTACTGAACAGTATAATTTAGTTCTAGTTTTGTTCCAAGTGTCTTTGTTCAATACACTGTATAAATTATTCTTTTTATACATTGTAGTCAATGACAATCTAGCATTAGATCTAGACAATCCCAAAGGACAACAAAACATAAGAGCACCGTAATGCAGTTCACAGTGATTTTACGGCTTCTGTAACGCATCTTACACCTGAGTTCGAGTTATGGATTTTAAAATGAGAATATCTTTTGGGGGTTAGAAAATCTTCTGCATCATTCTTCAAGAAATATTCAATTAAGTCAACCAAAAATTTCTAGTTCTTGATACATATAAATTTTTGTCTTGTGTGCCAAAATGGATTTCGCATTCAAATAAAGTCCAGATAAATGATTATATCAGTCTCCATGTTGTGTAATGCGACTTCTTGAGTGATTCTAGAATTTACATTTAAAAACAATAAACATAAATATGAGTTGAAGTTAAGATTTATATTTATTCATTTACATTTTAAGTCTTTTTAGACATTGAAAAAGGTATAGCGATATCCAAGGTTTATACACATGATTTTATTAATTGAACTAATATATTGTTGTAGGCGCTTGTTTACGTATCATTATGACAGATTGAAAGAGAGACGTTTATGAAAGAGTAACAGGTTACTTAAATTAGAAAAAAAAACTGAAAAAGTAATAGTAATATTTTGGATTAATGGACCCTTTTAAAAGACACTTTCATTTCATAATCGTGGGGTTCTTTGTCAAAAATTTTCTGTGATGTAGTATTGATATTTTATAAAATATACGTGTTTTAATTTAGAAAAATGTTATTTATTCCAAGTCTTTTTAGACATTGAAAAAGGTATAGCGATATCCAAGGTTTATACACATGATTTTATTAATTGAACTAATATATTGTTGTAGGCGCTTGTTTACGTATCATTTTGACAGATTGAACCATTTTATTTTATTTCAAATGTTATCATGGTTGCCTTTGACGGGGTTTTTACACGGATATTTTGACAGTGGACTGTCTATAATAGTATATCAGTAAAGATTGGTATTATATTCAAAAATTCGATGTATTTTTATCTTGATTAAATTAAAAACGTTATTATATCATACCAATAAAACTGTCGGCTATAAATTTGATGAAAATCAAAAACAGCAAATATAAATTAATGAAGAAAATATGAAAGAAATGGCGGGGTTTTCATCGAACACAATAACAAAAACTGTCGCATTGAATTATATTAGTCATATTGTCTAAGGTCTGTCTGGGCAGTGTCTTTTTATGGAAAGCAGATTCATCAGCGTGTATAATACAGACAATTTATGC